GCAGAGGCTGCTCTAAATCCATTTTACTCAAGGAATCAGTCATGTGCAACAAAAATCTTGTGCTCACGGTCAATGGGTACAGGGGGAATTTGGAGATTTCTGTGTATTAATGAATATATTGTGTGTGTGCTGGTGGGCTGGGCAGGACTCCTTTGTGGCAGGTACAGTGGGAAGTCTGTTTTAAGAAAAATCATTCTAACTGTAAGCTTGTCCCCTGTGTGCATGGGTGTGTGACAGCTCCCGGAGCTCACGGGAGCATCCCTGGGCTGGGATGAACACAGAGGGAGCTGTCACTGGAGTTTCCTCACCCAGGAGGTGTTGATTCAGTTGTTGGGTCTGTCACACACACGGCCACAGCCTCGGATGAGCTGTGGAACTGCTCCTCTCTGTGAAATGAGGGCTCACAGGCTTTGAATTTCCCTCTCTGGCCTGCTGTGGATGAAGTCTCTCAGTCCCCAGAGCCCCCCAGCCACTGCTCTGAGAACTGTATTTCACATGGCACAGCCTGAACCGTAGCTCTATTAATACAAAGATAAACAGAATTGAAATTCAGTTTGACCTTGTGTGGCAGCTGTGACAAAGCCTGGCGTGTTTGAAGTCTGGGTGCAATTATTTGGAATTGCTAAACACCACGCTTCAATCATGACCTTTAGCTGGCACCGAGGCCAGAGGAGGGCCCTGATTTTAACTTCTGAACTGCAAATCACCCTGTTGGAAAGAGACTTCAGAAGCCATTATAATCACAGGGAACGTTTGAAAGGGTGTGGAAGCTATAACAAAAATATTTATTTTACACACTTGTCTGCATTTAAGCCATAAATCTGTCTACTATGAGAGTGTTTTATTGGTGTAGAGAAGACAAGTAAGCTGAGATCATAGCAGACATGTCCTATAAGGCTTTACTGAAAATCATTGCTTTTTAATCCCTTTATCCCTGTTATTTCCTACCACTGTGAAAATCCAGCAGCAGGGAAAGCTGGCACAGTGTAGGACAGATGCATAATGTGTAATGCTAAGCAGGCAAAAATCCCTCTGTTTGTCTAATGCTCCAAACACATTAGAAATGTCAATGTTACTGCTGGGTGTCCGACATAAACACAAATAAATTATCAATACTCAGCTGAGTATTGAAAACCTTGTTGGATGTGGTGTTTTGATACCGATGAATAATCTTCTAATTAGTCAGAGGAAAAAAAATCTTCTAATTAGTCAGAGGAAAATGTCCCTGCTCATGGCAGGGGGGTGGAATGAGATGGTCTGAAAGGTCCAACCCAAACTATTCTCCATGGTAATTAAAATCACCCAGAAAAGTTGACCTGGATTGTTTCTGTGAAGAGCAGGTACCACATGAGTATAAAATCTAATTGTGTACTTCAGGTGTACAACACCTGATCTCACACCTTTGCTTCTTTATTTTCCTTGCCTTGTTTTTTCCCTGCATAAACACTGAAAAGCTGCTTGGATAGGAGGATGGAGCCAGAATGTCCCGAGGGCATCTGGAAATGTTCAGGTGCATGATTGCTTCCCTGAGCTGCACATTACAGCATCCTCCTGGCCCCAGCACAAATTCAATCGGCTGAGCTGCATCCTCTGTGGCTGGGGGAGCCCTGGAGCTGGCTGGGCAGGGCATGGCGAGCTGTTTGTGCCTCAGGGGTGAGGATGGAGGGGTGGCAGAGCTGCAGGAGGGCTCCTGGCAGTGGTGACAGCGAGACCGCGCTGCGCTCCTCGCGTGGGGAAAATCAGTTTGTAGGAATTCTCCCTTCCTCACACACGTGTTTTGAGAGGGAATGTTTGAGGATGCACTCAGCAGTGAGGGCAGAGCCGTGCGGGAGGGATTTCTGTGAGCAGCAGCAGCAACAGTTTCCTCCCACAGGGAATCACAGTGATTCCAGCTCGTCCTGCCTGGCTGGGACAGAAACTCAGCCCCACACCCGCTACTCTCCATGGCCTTGGGTGGGACAGGGCCTCAGCCCAATATCCACTGCTCTCCATTGGTTTGGGTGGGACAGAAGCTGAGCCCCACACCCACTGCTCTTCATGGCCTTGGGTGGGACAGAAACTCAGCCCAATATCCACTGCTCTCCATTGGTTTGGGTGGGACAGAAACTCAGCCCAACACCAGATTCTCTTCATGGCCTTGGGTAGGACAGAAACTCAGCCCAACACCCACTGCTCTTCATGGCCTGTCTGGGACAGAAACTCAGCCCAACACCCACTGCTCTTCATGGCCTTGGGTGGGACAAAAACTGAGCCCCACATCCACTGCTCTCCATTGGTTTGGGTGGGACAGAAACTCAGCCCCACATCCACTGCTCTTCAAGGCCTTGGGCAGCTCCAGGGGCACCCCAAGCCTTTGGGTTATGGAGTGTTGGTCAAAAAGTGCCTTTGTCTCTTGTTGCCCAGAGCAGCTGTGGCTGCCCCTGGATCCCTGGCAGTGCCCAAGGCCAGGCTGGACACTGGGGCTGGAGCAGCCTGGGACAGTGGGAGGTGTCCCTGCCATGGCAGGGGTGGCACTGGGTGATTTTTAAGATCCCTTCCAATCCAACCATTCTGGAAATTTATGATTCTGTGATTCTCCTGCTCTCCCGGGGGGAGATTGCATGGCAGGGGTGGCACTGGGTGATTTTTAAGATCCCTTCCAATCCAAGCATTCTGGGAATTTACGATTCTGTGATTCTCCTGCTCTCCCAGGGAGGAGATTGGATTGATGGGCTCTTCTGACCTGCTGAGCAGAACTCAGTTCCTGTTGGAACCAGAGGTTTCAACATTGATGGGCTCTTCTGACCTGCTGAGCAGAACTCAGTTCCTGTTGGAACCAGAGGTTTTATTGCCCCAGGCAGCAGAAGTGCAGCAGGGCTTGAGCTTTGCTCGTGTGGCACCACCTGGGGCAGGACAGGCTGGTCCTTGCACGCCCACCCCAGCATCCCCTGCATCCACCCCTCTGCTCCACCACTCCTCTCTCACCAGCCAAGGTTATCAAACTGCTGTTTATACAGTTCAGGCTGCAAAGTGGAGCTAATTAACATGTGCACAGCCTCTTCCCGTGTTATTGACCATGGAGGACAAAGCCTTTGAGCCACCTCTTCCTCTCTCACCCTGCTAAAGCTCTGTGTGATTTCCTGGCAGCTCTGTCAGAGCAGCTCCCAGGCTGGAGCACAGCTCTTCCAAAAGGGCAGCTGGAGGGACACAACCCCAACTGGATAAATTAGAATTCATCTGATCTTTTAATCTAGGGCAAGAGAACATATGGAGCGTTGTGGCAGAGTCAATTTAAGATTTTGACAACAAAAATATGGGTTCTTTCAGCCATAATCATTTAAAACAATGGTTCATTTTCGTGCTGCTCCTGACACTCAGTAGAAACTGTGAGAGACAGACAGGGTCTGGGGCTGTTCTCACTTTAAAAACATGGGCCTTAGGAAATGTCTTTGTACCCAACGAACGAGCAGATTTCCAAATATTTTACTAAATAAATACAAGTATTCTGTAAAAGCTGTTGGAACTTTTAGAAGGTTTTTTTCCATGAGGTAAAGTCAATAAAAGGGAACGTGCTGGTTTCAGACAGTGTTGCAGAAATGATGATGCTGAACACATCACGGAACGTGCTGGTTTCAGACAGTGTTGCAGGAATGGCTGCAGAGCAGGGCTGTGATGCTGAACCCTGGAGCAGAGGAGCCCTCGGAGCCCCCAGCTGCTCCCAGAGCCCCCTCTGCCCCTGGCTGTCCCCAGCTTTCTGCAGCCCCTCCAGCTCCTGCCCTGCTCCAGCTTCTACTGGAGTTTTTATGGTTTTATTCCAAGGGATAGAGACACTTCACAGTCCCTCAGTGATGGTTATGTTGTGTTCCAGCATCCACCATCCCCATCTGTGGCAGAGACTGATATTGGATCATGGTTTGGGTTGAGAGGGACCTTAAAAACCATCCCATCCCACCCCCTGGCATGGCAGGGACCTTCCACTGTCCCAGGCTGCTCCAAGCCCTGCCCAGCCTGCCCTTGGGCACTGCCAGGGATGGAGCAGCTTCTCTGGGCACCTGGTCCATGGAGAACTTACTCCTACAGAGCAGAAAACACATTTCACCAACTTCAGAAGCTTGTGGCAGGGCTGAGAGCTGAACCCAAAGGTCTGGAGTCAGCAATCCAAGCCTGGCTGATCACCTAGCCCTGGGAGTCATCAAAACACCTTTAAAGGGTTTTTATGGGTGGGATGGAGCTGTGGCCATGTGCTCCTGATGCTCGTGGGGGTGGCTGGGCAGAGCTGCCTCCCCCTGGCCTTCCACATGGAAGCTCCAAGGCCAGAGGGGGCTGCTGGCCAAGGACCCCTGTCTGTGTGTGCTGGGTCTGGGGGTGAGTGTGTCAGGGTCACTGAGCACCCACACATCAGGGGCCTGCCAAAATCCTACCCAAAGCCCTCTACTTTTGACCTGGAGTCCACTCCAGGAAGCCAAGAGGAGCCCTGGTTGTACATAAGGGATGCCAGAGCACAGGCCAAGGTGAAACCCAACAGAATGGTAAAATATCAGTGAGTTTCTTGTGTATTTTAAAGCATTTATTAGAACTTAACAGGGCATTATCCCTCGCTGAGGAATGATAACATGGCTGCAAGAGCAGCTCCTCTACACCCTGCCCCTATAAAATTGAATTGGTTTCATATATACTAAATTTTAAAGGCCTTTTAGACTTATGGATTTATTTAAAAAGAAAAAAAAAAGGTTTATTCTTGATGTCCTGAGCACATTATTGCAGTAACCTCACTGCTGGACCACAGCTTTGGCACAACACACACATCCATAATGAGGGACTGCCTGTTCTAGGGAGGTTTTATTACAAAAGAAAGTGCACAAGTATATTAGGAAGAGGGGGGAGAACAGAGAAGTCTATTTTTTTGGCAAAGCCTTGTATTATAGATCTCATTTCTCTGGTTGCAGCTGCCTTTAGGCACCCATTTCAGTGAGCTGCTCTGTTCTGCTTAGCTGTAGATGCTTCCCAAATTTCCTCTTTGGTGAAACAGGCATTTGTGCAGGTTCCCCATAAAAATGACTGATTTGGGTTTTACCAGGAGCTCTGGCACTTCTCCACTACAAGAAAGAATTGCATTTATAGAGAGGTTTATCAAGATGGGAATAGTGAAACAAACATTTTAAATGTCCAGCAGAATCCTCTGTCTTCCCCCAAACAAGCCTCCCTGGGCAGGAATTTCAGCCGTTCTGGAATGAGAGCCTCCTGAAAGGAACCTGGCTCCCTGTGGGACTGCCCAGCTTCCAGCCCTGCTGCTGGGGGAAGGTAAGAGAGCTCTGTTTTCATTTACTATTTATGAGATGTTCCTATTGCCAAGTGACCACAGCATTCGGTGCTTTTAAGAATCTGCAAATGAGATGAAGCTCATTATTTTTTCATGTGAAAGGGATTATTGCAATGGGAGTGCAGGGATCTGTAACCTCAGAGATGGCTCTTGCTGGGGGATAGATTTGGAGGCTTTTGCTTTAGGAAGTCAATAAAGAACACAGAGTATTTCCCAGTCATTCTGCTCAGCATCTAAAGCAGTATTTATTGGGAATAACAGTAAAAGGGATTTTTTTTTAATTGCAGACTGGGACTTGTAGGAAATTGCCCTCCTCGTGTGTGCGTTTTACTGTGCAGTGTTGAGAGAAATGCAGGGACACGTTTCCAAAGGAAATCTTTTTCTTAATAAGCAAAAATCCCTCATTATCCATTCCTGCCCCCACCCATCAGAGCAGATCTCAGGGTCCTGAGGGACAGCAAAGGCTGGAGGCACAAATGCAGCTTTTCCTTGGATTTTGGGGTGCCCCAGCCCTCCCTGCAGGTCACACACAGGATTTAAGCATAACCTGAGCATTTTTCAGACGTGTCTGTGTGAGCCAGAGTTCTCAACAAGTGGCCAAGGCACTGCAGCTGCAGGAGGGGGCACCTGGTTGAGCAGCGTGGCTGGGGCAGCTCAAGCTATGACACAAAAGAGCCAATTCAAGGGAAATATCACAACTCTGCTGTGTGTGGGAAGGACCAAGGGGCACCGAGCAACTGCTGAGCACTTTCTGGAGGCCTGGGAGTCACATCCCTGCTCCCAGCTCCGGGGATGTGCAGGGAGCAGGCACAGGTCACTGCTGCCCTCCAGGACAATTAGCACAACATCCCTGGGGATTTGCTCACCAGCTGCCAGGGAGCAGCATTTGCAGTCCTCAGGTGCCTTTTAAGACCCCAGACTAATTTCCTTCCCCGTGTTCCTGCTCTGCTGAGCTCATGCTCCACAAATGCAGTAATTGCAGGCATTTGTTTTGAGCCTCACAAGCCCGAGCTCCAGAGCGAGTTTTATTTACTGCAATTATATCTGGCAGGTAATTTCTAGTAAACCCAGGGAAATGATTAACCTCCCACTAAATTCATGAACAGAAAAATAGGGCAAATTGATCAAATAAGCTGTTTCCTACCTAATAAAAAAAATATTACAAATATAACATCCTGGAACAGAAATAGCTCTGTTGAAACCATAAAGACAAGCAGGAACCTGCTAGAGGCATCTGTGCAGAGATTTTAAATTTCTAGCTTATCTCCTAACCAGGAGTTATTCTTATTTTACCCATTGCTGGTGGTGGAGCAGCTTCAGCTGTGCCCATACCTTGTGTCACAGATGAGTGACTTCTGTTGCCTCAAGAATCACAGGCAAAGGTATTAGCAGAAGGGGATTTAATTTAAATTTGTCAGAGTGTGATTGAGCAAAGTTTGATGGCTAGTTTTACTCTTATTCATTACTGCATGGGTGATTTCTGCAAAGGAAAAGGGAGTTAGAATTGATTTAAAGTGATTTACACAGAGACCAAAGAGCCAAAAGGGTCAGGGAGACCCTTCTGTTGAGTCATCAGGTGCAGAGTGGAATTTCTTTCTTATTTGAGTTTGGATAAGAGGCAAAGATAGCCTGGGATGTGAGAGCATCCATCTGGACAGGATACAGAATGCTGGAAGCAGAACTTTTTTGATTTCCACAGCAATATCTGTGTGCATTCCCCCATCAGGGGTGTCTGAGAACCATCCCAGGGCTGAAGGAGCTGCCACAGGGCTGGCACCCTTGTACAGTGCCCAGAACTGGCATTTCCAGCTCAAAGCTCTGCTGTATGACCTTGTGTCACTCTAAAATTCATTTTCCATCCCCACCTGGGGCTGAGGGCAGCTCCATCCCAGCCTGGCTTGGGAAGTGCAGCAGGAGATGGGAGATGAGGAAGAGTTGCTTATCCTCATGGCAAAGGAGCTTTCAGCCTCATCCCTGGTGCTCCCAGACTCCAGACACACAACAATGTCACTCTGAGGCCCGGGTTTCCTCCTCCTCTGGCCTGATGGTAACCAGGAGTGACAGGCTGTGAGCTGGAGCTGATCCATCGTGTGGCACCTCTGTCCCCCTCCCGTGCACCGCTGGCCAGGCTGGGCACAGCACCATTCCAGCTGCTTCCTGCTCGCCTTGGCGTGGGCAAAACCACGAGCTCTGTCATTTGGGGAAGGTTTTTCCTTTTCTGCAGGGCTGCTGGGTTTGCTGTGCCCTCCCAGCCTCAGCCTTGCTGGGTACAAAGTGGATAGATGGCAGCAAGGGCTTTCCAGGCTGGCAGGGTGCAGGTTTGAGGGTTTCTTTCTCCTCCTTGTCCTCTCCCAGGCACAGTTGTCTCTCTGATCCTGGCTGATGGGTGATCGCCTCGAGGTTCCCACACAAAGAGTGGCAATGAGTCCCTGGTGGAGCCCTGGGCAGGCAGGCTGTGCCAGTGGAGGTACCCACTCACCTGCACTGCCCTGCCTGCCCGGGCTCAGCCTGCAGGCACTGCTTGCTGCTGCTGGCATTGCAGCAGCGTGGCATGGCATGGCAGGGGGGTGGCAAGGGCTGGGACAAGGGGAGAGGGCTGTGCTGGCCCCTCAGGGCACAACAGGGACAGCCAAGTGACACTGCTCCAGGCTGAGGGCAGCCCCTGGGTCCCATCCCACAGGCACCTGCCCCTGCTCCTGGTGCCTCTGGGAAGGAAAACCAGCTGGGTTTGATTCCCAGGGACACCCCTGGCACAGCCCTGGGCTGGCAGCATTGCTGCTCCTTCCTTGGGCACTGAAATGAATTGGTTTTGGGGTTGCACTACAGAAGTTCAGGTTGGGTACCAGGAAAAAATTCTTCAGTGAAAGAGTGGCTGAGCACTGGGATGGCTGCACCTCACTGGAAATGTTCAAAAGTGGATGCAGCACTTTGAGATGTGGTGTGAAGGTTGGATTTGATGATCCTGAAGGTCTTTTTCATCCTTAATGATTCTGTGGTCTTGGGTGATAAATACCACACTGAAGGAAGCTTCCAGAACCTCCACCTCAAACGTCTTTTATGACTTTTAAGTACATTCCCTATTTCCCAGTATTTCCACATCATACAGAGTTGTTTTATTTGTATCTCTTCCTTCTCTTCCAGGCTCCATCCTTTTGAATGCTTGACCAAATTCATGATGAAATAAATTCTGTGTATATTGCTAAAGTTTATTCTGCTGCTGAAACATGGCACAGAAGTCTTTTGTCTGTCCTGAAACTTCAGACAAATCCTTGCTTCTTTTAAAATAACCTTTGAAATGTTTTTCATCCAAACGAGTGAAATAGCAAGAATAATAGATGTTGTAGGATTTGTAGCCACTATAGTTTCCTGCTTCTCCAAATGCTTTTGGAAATGCTGATTGATTTGTAACAAAGCTTGAAATGTCACCAGGAGGAATGAATGAAAAATACACTGCTCTAATGTATGTAGAAGTTGAAATTGGCTCAAAGTTTTAACCTTTAGAGGTGCTTTTTTTCCTTTTCTTCCCTTTTTTTAACTTTTCACAGCAGTCAAGGAGTTGGAAAGATAACCAGGAACAAAATGCACATAGAGGAAATGAATAAATTATGCTCTTATTTTTGGCACATTTACAAGAGAGACATTTTAAAACTCCACTTCAGTGACAAAAGAAAGGATTGCTCTACTTAAAAGAAAGCCTGTTCCCTCTGCTGCAGAGGGATGCTGTGCTGCTGAGGTCTGATGGATCCCTGGCCTGGCTCAGCTCTGCAGGGGGAAAAAGCCCTGACTGTGCCCACAAACACCCCAGAGGCTGCAGGGAGGGGCTGTTTGGGGCAGGGGGATCATGCCTGCCTTGCTCAGGGGTGGGATGTGCTGGAGATGTCCTGGCAGTGCTCCTGCCCAGCTGGGTGTGCTGGGCCAGTGGCAGTGCAGTGGCTCGGTGAGCTGGGGTGGCTTTGGGCAGCGAGGGTAACAAGGCTTTGTCTGCTCTGGAATTTGCAGTAGTTGGAGCTGCAGAATGAGGTAAATGTGGTTTGGAACCCATCCAGTTTCAGATCCAGCACGCTGACCCTTCAGGGACGTTGAGGCTGCTCCAGGGCCACCAGCTCCTCTGTGTTCTGTCCCTTTGTCCCTGCTGTGTTCCAGTCCTCACAGTGCTCAGCGCTTGTCACTCAGGCTAGAAATGTCTGCTGCTTTCTGGGGTTTGCTGCTTTTCTGTTTCCTGATGAATTTACCCTCTGGAGTATAAAACAGAATACCAAAAGCCTCGGGATCTGCCTCACTGCAACCAGTGTGTGCTGGAGGATGCCAGCAGCTGGAGCTGCAGTGCTGGGAGGATGGAACTCCTTGGGGCTCTCTCTGCCCATCCTCCTCCTCAGTAACCACTGATCTGGGCAGTTTGAACCCAAACAGGAGCTGAGCAGTGAGTGGTTTTTGTTGTCACTGAGGACCAGCGAGGTGGCTCATCCTCCCTGCCCCGACAGGACCTGTGAGCTCCAGCTCGGTGCTGCAGCAGAGCTGTGCAAACCTGCTGACAAATGAGGTGTTCCAGCTTTCCCCCAGGATTTTGTGGGTGGAAATCAGGGCCCTTTCCTTCCTGCAGCTCCCTCTGCCCCTGTAGCAAGAGCTGTTTCCTGGGGTGATGCTGTGAGGAAATATGAGAGACAGGAAATACTGAGCAAAAGCAGGTAACAGCAGCAATAAAAACTGCAGGTTCTCAGGTTCCAGTTCATTCCAGTACCCTGAAGCTTGCTGCCCCACTGGAGGGGGAGTAAGCCAAGCTGGTGCCCTGGTGTGTCTGGAGGAAGGTCAGGAGGGAGCTGCATTGCAAATGAATGAAATGAATCCTGGAGCAGTAATTACAGGGCTCTCTCACCTTGTTCCTAGACTTTTTTTTTTTTTTTTTAACAGAAAAAGGCTCAAGATGAATCCACCTATCTCATTTCAGCCTCATGATGTGTTTGTTCAACATAAAAAATCAATG